CCCCTAGGATTGTTCTTCTCCGAAAAAAATACACCACTATTTTTTTTATTTTGAAATCAAAAAATATTTAGGATCGCTCAATGCGCTTAAAGTGTTCCATGTATTTGTAAACATTTCATAGAAATGGTATAGAATTCCTGAAAATCAATCACGCACGAATTGCTCAGTGGCGGGATCGAGTGATTAGGACCGAGGTTCGATTACTGGTTTGAACAAACAACATCTATAAAAATTGTTTTCTAAAAGCCGTCGCTACTCAGTGTCAATCCTCCAAATATATTTCTGCTCTCATTAAACCCATTTGACATTCGGAGTCGGCGTAAAAGTGTAGGACCCTCCATTTGTATAGTAAAATCACAACAAATTGTGGGCGTCAAATATTTTTTTATTTTTTATTAATAAATTTAATTGTTGCATTTATACCAACCTTCATATATTATAAAGTAAATATGTACATTTTTTCATATACGAAAAAAAGCAAATTTTATTACAACACATTTTTAGGTTTTATAGTTCTTTTACAATTTATTGAATAAATACAATAATTCTTATTTAAAATTTGGAACTAACTTGTTAACGTTTACATACAATTAATTTTCCAGTATATCGATTGTCACCAGTTAAGTGGAAATACGTTGTTATAAACGATAGTAAACAAGATATTTATAGACTAAAGCTTATTTCATTTTATTTCATTTAAAACCACGAAAAGTGTACATAAATAAATTAATATTACAATAAATAAGTAATGAAGTATGAATGGAAAATAGGTAGCTTTTTATAAAAAAAAAATTTAATCATGTAAATGCATTTTATTTAAAAAGGCTTAAATATTATGTAAATAATCTAAATGGATTTGAGCAAGCGTACCTTTCTAGTAGAAATTGAGCATAAACAATTTTTGTGTACATTTATAAAAATTTTCCTTCGTAATGGTAGTAATACATAGACTATACATAAATATGAATAATAGTGATATTTATTCCCTTAAACTGGAAAAACCACAAAAACCTTAAAGGCCTCAGAAGTCTGCGAACTTTTAGTAAATTAAATTTTTTTAATATACCTTCAGTTGCTTAATTTTCCCCGTTTGCGGGAACAACCTAGACATCATTTACAAGCTAATTGGTATTTTTATTTTTTTGTTAATTTAAGCAAGTTTAAAAGTAATACATCAAACGGGAATAACTACGCGCTTAACGTTGCAGTAGTTGTGCATGCAAATTTTGCGTACAATTTTTCATGCACAGCAATTGTTGATTTCGTATTAAAGTAATATTCGGCCCTATCGTTAATTCCATGTGAATAAATCATTCCCATAATTTGACATGCAAAACAAAAACAAATTGGGAAAAATTGTTTTTGTTTTGCTTTGTAATTTTTGGGAATATTTGTTCATGGGAAAAACGCGATAGGGCCGATTATCTTGTTTGTTGAAATTTTAATCCAAGCTAATACAAAGACAAGTAGGAGACCTATTAGGGTGCGTTAAAAATTTCAGCTTGGCGCTGAAAGTGATTCTTTTTTTGAAATGTCAACTTGGAGTGAATTTTCGGCCTCTTAAATGCAATGTTTTCGAACATTTTCGAACGACTTCACTTCAAGCTGTTATGCGCACCAAAGAGTGCTGACATTTTGAACCTTCCATGCAAAACTTTTTGTGAATTATTATTCATTTAACTATGTGCGCATTAGGGTAGCTCTTATAAGGCACTTTCTAAAAAAATTCGATATATTTAATGCGCTATTATTCAGTCAATAGAAAAACTAGCTGGAATAGAGTCCGACAGGATACTTCAATTCACATACGGGAAACATAACGCATTTCTCCTCAAAGTGAACTGAACAATCGAATTTCAAATATGCTTTGATACTACTTATTCTTAGAATTAACGATTTATGCTAACAATTTTGGCTGTTAAAGGATATTGAAGGATACAAATTTTAAAGGACACACATTTTTCAGAGAGGATAACCGACAGCCGGGTTGTGTAGTTATTAGAGCTTTCACACAAGCCATAGCCCGGTTTCATACATTTTGTGTGCTTAAATCGAGACAAATTTAAATTTGATATAGTGTTTCGACTATAGCCAGGCAATGGAAAGAATAGTTAGCGTTGACCGAATCCGCAGAAACTTGGCATGTTCTCTAGTTTTTCTTAGAAATAGAAAGTTGTGAAATATGGCAAATACGGGCTCATTGCGACGCCCTCCATTCTTGAGGGCGAAAACATTACATTTCATCCGATTACGACTAGGGGTATTTTCGATGACAACACTGACAGAGAACGTAAAATACGGAGAACATGCAAAACTATAGCCTGGACATCTTTGTACATACATCGTGACCGGTAATACAGTCACCATTCTTGCGAAGTCCTTGCAATGTGCACGATTTGCAAAGCCGTCTGATAGGAAAACCGGTTTTCACCATGCAATCCGTCCACCGTGCACTCTGCATCCTTTGGTTTCTGAGCGAACTAGTAAACCAATAACGAAAACTAATTTGGCGCCCGCGGCAACCGAGTGGTCAGAACTGTGTACTATTTACATCTCAGGGGTATCCAGTTTCGATCACCACTACGATCCATTCTTACAATCTGTTTTTAATTTTTTCTAATAAATTAAACTTTTTTAGTTTTATGTTATTTCCACGGAAAATAATCAATATTTTTTTAAATTTTAACCAAAAAAATCAACAAGTTGTAGTTGTCGTAAAACCATTTTAACTACACTCACGTATTTGTGTTCGTACGTCCTACCGTAATTTACAATGATGTTTATTTTCGAGTTTAACCAATAAAGATTAAATATAATAACTAATATTTCCTTTTTACTTTTTTCGCTCAAAGATAATAATTATTATTGAATTATATTTTTTCACTTAAGAATAATGATCATTAAAAAAACTCAAAAGCTATAACATTGTGATTTCACAACAGGTAGCGACAATAAAAGGAATACATCCCAAAATTTTCATGTCGAACTTTCAGTAGGTTGCGTCTGTATTGTCCTTTCAATTTTATAATACTCATTATTTTTAAGTGGAAAACTAAAACTTAATAATAATTATTATCTCTGAGCGAAGAACTAAAAATCATATTACATATTTATATTCATTATTTGTGATCGAAAAAATAAAACTCAAATAATAATCATTTCCGTTGAGTGAAAAAATAAAATTCAATAACAGTTATTGTTGTTAAGCGACAAAAATAAAAATTATAAAAAAAAATAATTAAATGCTGATTTAAATTATTTTACTCATATAATGATTAATGGTTGTTTCTCTCAAATTTTTTTCAAGTTTATTTAACATTTTGGAGTTTAATTTTATTAAAAGAGACCACAGCAACTATAATTACATTTAAATAAATAAAAGTCATAATTGAAGGAACGATAAAAAAAATAATTTTCGTAGCTGTAGGATTTTAACCCACGACCCCGACCGGCTCGCTTAATCCGCAATACTGCCATCTGTCTGGGTACAATTTGATCAGATCAACTGCACTGTTAATCCGGATTAAAGTTGCCGTCTGTCTATACTAAAAATCTGGAACTTGAGCAGTTAATTCCCGAGATAATTCCGAATTAACAAGTTGATTCGGATCAACTCTGCCTTATGTCTATACTTTTAATCTTTTACATACACATGTTATTTACTACTTTAAGGGCCGGTTGCTCAAAGCCTGGTTGACACTAATCCCCGGTTAAACATCGTTACCGACGTTATCGACACAATGTTATATGCTTGTAGTCAGTAAAGTCGGTAACGATGTTTAACTGGAGATTAGTGTTAACCAGAGATGGTGAAAACGGCCCTAAGGGTAGTACTTTCACTGTCCGGTTAACACAATTCGGAGGTAGAAGTTCCGGATAAATACAAAGACTGCTCAATCGATCACATGTTATATGTATGCTTGATGTCAAAAACGTCGATAATCATTTTTAACTGGTAGGTAGTGTTAACCAGACTTGAACAAACGGCCCTAAATAAAATATTACATCATTTACTTTGAAAACAAAAGCGTTTAGTTTCAGTACATATGTACGAGTATTTTCAGTTGTTCCTTCCGCCTATTGATGAATCGATAGAGCTTACGAGTTCTTCCGCCAGGCGCCACCGACCTTCTTGAACCGCCACTGTTTTGACTTTTAATTGTACCGTACGCCGTACAATTGGTCAAAAAACAATATTGCTCCGCAGAAAAAAGTACAATTGGTGACGTTATTTATAATCTAAAAAATTTAATCTGAAAATAACGTATGTACCTATACCATATCGAAAAAATTAAAATTCCAAAATAACTTCCAAATATTATCCATAAAATAGGAACGCTACTTTAACGTTTAAATTGTGAATTTATTACAATAGGTTCTTGAAAAATATACTTTAACAGGTTTAATTTAATTTTTCAAATACCAAGTCCCCGGCGCGGCCGAGGGTGCCCTTTATACCGTCAAAATTAAATTTTGTTTAACACCATTTTTTTTTATATAATGGAACGAAACTGATGACTAGCGCAACATTCTTAAAATAAGAGCCACCCTAATGTACATACACATATTGCATGAAAATCTTTAAATTGCTTTTTGTCAAATAGAAAGTGCTGAGATGTTCGGTCAAAAGCTTTTTTTATATCAATTTCACCTAATGCGTCTTTTAAGTTAATTTGTGTTTTCAGGTGAACAAATGAACATATCTACTTACCCGAGTACATGCAAGTTTTTTTTTTTTTTTTGTATTATCAACTTAACGGCATCTTGAAAGCATTTAAATACTTATGGTACTTTTAACCTATAAACTAGGCGTATTTAAGTTTAAGTGGTTTAATTGATTAGCTTTTGAGTCTAATTTTTGTTGAATGTAAACTCAGTTTAAACATTTTAAGGCATCATAATTACATCTTTAAAGTATGTATAATTTTATCAGCCACATTTCATTTACTTATATTTGATCTTTGGTATATATAGAAATTTTAAGCAGCATTTAAAAATCAAATCGTTGGTTAATCAAATAAAAAAAATATTAATGCATACTATATACATACAGCTTAAACTTAGCACTGACTTAGGCTTAGATTGCAGCGAGGTTTTATGTAGGTGGGCGGGTGGGCATGCGAAAGTTAACTGATAGCCACTTGTAAAAGAGCCGCGTTAAAGGTATGCAGGTGTACATACATACATACATACATATGTAGCATACAGCGTTGGGCTTTCGTTACGCCCCTGAACAGCGTCAATTATGGCAGGAAATTTAAACGCGCGAATGGCCGGTGCTCAAGTATACAAGTTAATTAATAAATATGAATATATGTCGATAAACTTGTGCATTTTACGGCAATAACGCATGCTAAGAAACGTAAACAAATTTGAATTCTTAACAAGGCATGGTGCTGGTGGGCGGGGTGGGGCGGTGTACTTCACTTGCGACGGGAGACTTTGCAGTGCCAGTAATTGCTGCTTTACAACCGTGAGCTGCGCCTAAGATTAGGTTAAATATATACAATACATATGTAAGTGTCGGTGTTTAATACTTTTCGGTTCAATACTGCTGGGTGATTTCTAATTTATCAAATCAAGAACTAAGAAACTACTCAAAATATATAGCCATTAATGGAAAGTCGCAAATAAATAAGTGAAATATGTGAAATCTTGGACAAACACAATTCGAAAGCATGAAATCAATCCAAAATAATACCTTTTTTTTTGTAATGAGTTTAGGTATTAAATAATTTAGTATTTAGTTGCTCATGCAAACCAATTTAAAACTATGTAAGTATGTAGCTCATCTTACTAACATTTTCCAAACCGATAGCCGATCAAATGTTCCATTGATATTGCTTTTCGCCAATGCAATATGCATTTATTTGATATGGCAACATTGTCCCTTGCAAGTGGCGCTTAATTATATATGAATGATAATTGTGTAATTTTTTCCACATCGCCCCACACCTGTACCGATTCAATGTATTGAAAATCGCTTTCGGGTTGAAATTGTGTGATATAATTTCGACCATCTTCATACACCGAGTATACATAGATGCCATCATCTTGGAACGCGAATTCTAGGGCAAATTCCGGCCCTAAAAGAGAATACGAATTGGTATTTACAAATGCGTCAGTAGTGTTTATAATTGAATTAGTGTTGAGAAAGCCTTTGCTTATGCTATCATTAATCATAGCTTTATTAGTATGCGTTAAGTGAGCTTTAAACCGACCATCTAATGTGTCGAACTGCGTTTCTTTGTAGTTCATCCATTCGTCATTTTCCTTGTAGTCCTCGATTAGTACGTTGTTAGCTAGATCCCATTTGAATTGATAAGCGACAGACTGTGGATTTTCGTTAACCTCATTTGCAAAGTTGATGGAAAATCTAAAAAATAACGAGACAAAATTTGAAAAAAAAAATTAGCTAAAGTTTGTCAGACTTTTTGAATTTTTCTTTCTAAAACAGCTTAAGTATATATATACATACAACAAGTAATTTTTAAGCAAAAAACAAAACTGACCTAAATTTTTACGCCGACTCCGAATGGCGGATTTTAATCAGAAGCTGTTTTTAATGACAGAATACACTCGGAGGTTTGTCATTGCCTGCCGAGTGGCGACCGCTATTAGAAGAAACGTTTTTTGTTTTTGTTTTTTTATATTTTGCTGTTGGTCAGAAAGTGGGTTTGGACGCAGGCCATACGTCCCACTGCTAACCACTACACCACAGCGGCCGTCGAATTAATCTATTTCCGGCGGTGGTTCCAAATATACCTATCTTGCGCACCCTGACATTGAAGTCCCCATATAAAATACATGGAAAACTTTATGCGCTTTGAGCGACCTCTAAATATTTTTTGATTTCAAAATAAAAAATAGGGGTATATTTTTTCGCTATAGAACAATCCTAGGGGCGAGAGCATACAAATTCCGACTTTAATTTTTCACATGCATTTTTGGACCACCCTAGTGTACATATATACATTCATACACACAAACCAATTTTTTTTAAGAGATTGAGTCATAGGTAAAACAGAGATTTCTCCGTTTTTCGAAGTTAGCCTCCAAAATCGAGATATGGGCCTTCAAAGTTCGAAATAGGACCTTTGGTAATAAATTATGTTTAATTATTGCATTTACAACGATACCAAGTTTTTAAAAATCGGTTAGTAATTTTTTTGTTTAAAATCATTTTTTTATACAAAAAAGGTATTTTTTCATTTAAATGTTTTTTTTTTTCTGAAATTTTTATATACGAAGTATACAAATATGCACATCAGAAGAAAGGGGAATAAATAATCTTTACAACGATATGAATTTTTTAAAAAATCAGTTCAAAATTTTCTGAAATATTAAGCTATTAATTTTTCGAAGATCTGACCTTTGACCCGTTATAATAGATTGGCGCTTACACATATGTTAGTGTTTGGCCAAGCTTCTCCTCCGATTTGTGGCGTGCGCCTTGATGTTGTCACACAAAGCGGAGGGACCTACAGTTTTACGCCGACTCCGAACGGCGATTGTATTTTTATGAGAAGCTGTTTTTCATGGCAGAAATACACTCGGAGGTTTGCCATTGCCTGCCGAGGGACGACCGCTGTTAAGAAAAAACCTTTTTTTCTATATTTTTGCGATGTTGCTTTGACCAGGGTTTGAACCCAGGCATTGTGGAGTGGAAGCGCGCACTGCTTACCACTACACCACAGCGGCCGACATAGCACCCGTTATAGCACCTGTAATATAAGCTTTCACAAACAAATTTATATACCATATAAATAAGAGCAAAAGGCGGACCACGTCCGTATTTTTACTTTTTTTTGCTTTTTACATGCAATAATTAAAAATAATGTTTTACCAAAGGTCCAATTTCGAACTTCGAAGGCCCATATCTCAATTTCGGAGGCTAACTTCGGGAAACGGAGAAATTACTTTTTTTACTTATAACTCAATCTCTTAAAAAAGTTGTTTTGGTCCAATACCCAGCCGAGTGCTGTACAATGTACATGCTTACATATGTTTAAAATATCCAAAAAAGCAATAAAATAAAAAGTAGAACGCGCATCCAAATTCCTAAGTTGCAAATAACGGGTGATTTTTTTGAGGTTAGGATTTTCATGCATTAGTATTTGACAGATCACGTGGGATTTCAGACATGGTGTCAAAGAGAAAGATGCTCAGTATGCTTTGACATTTCATCATGAATAGACTTACTAACGAGCAACGCTTGCAAATCATTGAATTTTATTACCAAAATCAGTGTTCGGTTCGAAATGTGTTTCGCAAACCCAATTGCTGCGAACGGCGACGAATCGACATTTCACGGTCTTCAGCAACACTCTCAGAAACAGACGCAATATTCTCTTCTGTACGCACTGTACGCATTCGTGTGGTTGGTTTAATGTCCAATAAAGTAAACTGAGTGCGAAACTTGGTCACAATCGCATTAATTGTTTGCTCACTTGGTCGATTATGTAGACCATAAATCGGACGTAAAGCGAACCGAACACTGATTTTGGTAATAAAATTCAATGATTTGCAAGCGTTGCTCGTTAGTAAGTCTATTCATGATGAAATGTCAAAGCATACTGAGCATCTTTCTCTTTGACACCATGTCTGAAATCCCACGTGATCTGTCAAATACTAATGCATGAAAATCCTAACCTCAAAAAAATCACCCGTTAGTATGTAGTACATACACATACATACATACATACATGTAGTACATACTATGTACCTACAAACTTATTCACCTACCTACTTGTCAACAAATTTTCTTTATTTATTGCTGCTGTTAATATGTATGTGGCGCCCACAGCATCACAAATAAGCACGTGGTAGTCAAACTACTTTAAATTTAATGACGGTGACGCTTCATACATACATACATACATATGTACACATAAGTACATAAATTGTTGAGCACTTAACTACTAATTTGTGCCGATTTAAAATTAACAGTGGCATGCATTTGTTCATTGGACCATGAGAGAAGTGAAGTTGGTATTTTAAATTGTACAACAAATTCCAATCATTACAACATCACATTCCCATAACGAAGCGGTAAAGAATTCATAAGAAAAAAAAAATGGATCTTTTGCCTACTTTTATTTTAACAACAAAACCAAAATCTTCACACAACCAAGTAAATCAAAGGTGATCTGTTGGCAAAAGAGCGTAATGGTGTTTTATACCTATGACATCATTTCCAAAAGAACGCAGCAAAAAATGTTTCATTTGTTTGCCGGGCAGTAGGTAAGTGAAAAGGCAGTGGAATGAAATATGTGATAAAAGAAGGTCAAAGCATGTCTTGAAATGCTATTGCTTCAACACGTGCTCATTATATATGTATGTACGAGGGCGGTTGAAAAAGTATGCATAAGAATGGGTTTGAAATTGAATATGATTTTTCACAGTCGGAAATGAAACTACTTTAAAAGCAATTTAAAAAGTACTTTTTTACGAACTACAAGTGGTTGGATTGCTTCCTTTTTCATATAAGCAACTAACTTTACTAACATGGCGATGTCCTAGAAGAAAGTCAATTATCCGACTCTGCATTTGATTTAAACTAATTTAAAATGTGTTTATCAGTATTTTTCGTTTGAATACGCTTTCGTCCTGCACTTCACAGATGCTTCTTCATATTTGGAAGAGAAAAATAAAATTATTTTAATTTTAACAATGTTGCCTCTGATGGGGTTCGAACCCGCACATTCTGGAAGCTAACAAATAACAGCAAGCACCTCTGCACGTTCAGCTACAGCCAGACATTTGCTTGTACTTTCAAATGTTTAGTTCGAATCACATAGAAGCAGCAAGTTGATTGTATGACTCTGCATTTCACTCCAAGTACTTCAAAGAACTTCAAAAGTACTGTTTGAATCTTTGTTTCTCTGTTACTTCGAAATTTAAAAAAATTAATTAAATAAAAAAAAACACCCTACTCTTCGTCATACCAGTTTCTGCGTGGGCCGTAGTATCCAACCACCAACCACGAAGAGATTAGAAGATGGATTCAGACAGCTCCGATCGTTGGAGAGTTTTTGTTTAAGCACGATTGAGAGTCGATTGCGAAATTTCTCGGCTTATGTATTTGCAAGTTAGGTTAAAAAAATTAAATTTTGCTGTGACGGATGAGACATCCAATAAACATTTCTTATAAAGCTTACAACTTCTCACCATAATTCAATTTTTGAAATGACGCAGCCCTGTTTCAAAGTCCATGAGTTGTACGTTTTTTTTTTTGTATAATTATATTTTGCATTGTCCCCTTCAATACACGAGTAATGCCTTAACAACTTGATGGTAAAATGCTACATTCGAGATGGTCGCACTATGGTTGCGTTTATAACAATAAAAATAGAGAAAATAGGGATAAATCGATAAAAATCAATTTCTAAATGGTTATTCTATATGCTTTACTGTTGTCATTGATTTAAACGCAATCTACGAAATTTGTTTACCTGTGGTGTCGTCTTCGCTGGAATGACCCTCAAACAACTTATAGACTAGCTTAGGAGATATTCTGCTCCACGCTAGTATCTATTTTTGGCAGCTCTTTAAAATAGTTGATGAGTAAAAATAGTTTATGTGTTTATGTTTCTTTCATTTTTAATAGCTCCAACAAATAGTTAAGTGCCTAACCAATGACTCGTCTTAAGTTTTGGCCATTTTTCAACACAATAGAATTAGTAATTGCTAATTGGCCGCCGTCATAATTTTGTGATTCATTTTTGTTCAAAATTTAGTAAAAGTTTGCGCATTCTTCTAAGCAAATAACTTAATCGTGTGTCAATTTTTAAAATGAAATTATAATTACTATGTATGAATATATGCGAACATTCATGCGTACATATGTATGTCTATTTTAGGATTTCGTTTGCAGATAGCTCTTTGACTTTTGGTTTATGAATACAATTTTTTACTTAATACTTAATCAGCCTTATCAGGAGTTCGATTTTTGCCCGAAATCGTTCACTTTCGTTCGTGTATTCACTACGGGCGGATGCAAAAAAAATTCGGGCGAATTGGTTTTCGGACGAAACTCTCGATAATGCTGGCTTGCTCATGTCGTTCGAATGGACACCGACATTCCAGCTCTGAAAGTATTCAACTCGGTACCCGCTGGTGGTAGCAGACGAAGAGGGAGGCCCCCACTGCGATGGAAAGATCAGGTGGAGAAGGACTTGGCGTCAGTTGGCACAGACGAGAAACGACTGGCGTGCTTTGCTGAACTCGACCAAAATCGCTTAGGCGGTTACAGCGCCAAAAAAGAAGAAGAAGAAGTATGTATGTATATGCGCATGTAAATACATATATATGGTATCCAATACTTAGCTAAATTATGGATTTTCATACTTTTTTTCTGCACAAAACGCTTTATAT